TGTTGTTTTATATACTCTCCAGAATTTGTTGTTGTTTCCTTTATTTTTAATATAAGGAAATGTTATTTTCTACTTTCATGTATAAATGACAGCATACCATAAACACTCCTTTTTAAGGAACCCTCCTGCACCATACTGGTGCAGCCACTATGGAGGACAGTGTGAAGTTCCTCAAAAAACTAAAAATAGACTTACCATATGATCCAGTAATCCCACACTGGACGTATATCCAGAGAAAACTATAATTCAAAAAGACACGTGCACCCAATGTTCACGGCAGCACTATGTTCAATAGCCAAGACAAGGAAACAACCTAAATGTCTATCGACAGATGATGATTAAAGATGTGGTATATATATATATGGAATATTACTCAGCCATAAAAAGAAAAATACTGCCATTTGCAGCAACATGGATGAGCCTAGAGATTATCATATTAAGTGAAATAAGTCAGACAGAGAAAGACAAATACCATACGGTGCCACTTATAAGTGGAATCTAAAAAAATACCAATTTTATTTACAAACCAGAAATAGACTCATGGACATAGAATGCAAACTGTAGTTACCTGTGGGGATAGGCAGGGATAGATGAGGAGTTTGGGATTAACAGAGTCACATTACTATATGTAAAATAGATAAACAACAATGACCTATTGTATAGCATAAGGAACTTAATTCAATTTCTTGTAATAAAGAAACTGAAAATATACACATGTATATATGTGTATGTATAACTGAACCACTTTGCTGTACACCTGAAACTAACATCGCAAATCAACTACACTGCAATTTAAAAAATGCTAAAAAAACCTCCACTCCTTTTTAAACTTAAGAGTATACCTTAGAGATCATGCTATAGTTATATTTACATATATTATTTGTTCTTTTTTACAGCTGCAAAGTATACCATTGTATTGATATAGCATGGTTTTACTTAACCCATCTCCTATATTTGGGTTCTTTCCAGTCTTTGCTATTACAAATAGTACTTCAATGAATTCCTTATAAACTCAACCTTTTTATATTTTTCCCAATTTAACTTTGTGGTTGATTTCTAGAAATAGGATTGCTAAATCAAAGGGTAAGTACTTGTAAAATATTGACAAATTCCTCTCTCTGTAGGAATTAAAACATCTTGAATTTCCATAACAATGTATTAGAGTTCCTATATCTTCATAGTCTCATCAATAGAGTATGCTGTCAAACTTTTGGATTTTCCCCAATCTGATAAGAAAGAAATAACTACTTAGAGAAGTTCTAAATTATACTTCTATTGTTACAAATGTGGTTGAAAATTTTTTTTATGTTTAAGATCCATGTGCATTTCTTTTTCCTATGAACTCTTCATATTAATAGCCCATTTTTCTATGGGTTGTCTTTTTCCTTTAGTTTTAGAAGCTTCTATCTATCTTAGAGACATTAACCCTTTGTCTGTAACATATACTCTCTCAGTTAATAATTTGAGGTTTTTTATCTGGCTATTTTTATTATCACCTTTTAAATTTTTATCTAATCAAGTTCATCATTTTTTATTGCTTCTGGAGTCAGTTTTCCCATTTTAAGGTTATAGAAGAAGTCAATTGTGTTTCCTTTAATGCTTCTATAACCACAAAAGTAAACCAGTTTAGTAGGTTGTAACTGACAATTTTTAAAATGATATAGGATAAAACAGAATAGAAAAAAATAGTATTAATTGCACATAATAAAGTATTAAAAGAGCTTGGAAGATGTCACTCCGATCCTCACACCAAGAAAAAAGCTGAACAAACTGAAAGCCATCAATGCATAGATTCATCAGGGAGTGGAGGCCAAAAGACAAACTGTTGCTCCCAAAACTTGAGAGACAGACAGGAAGATAAAGAATCACAGTTTACCAGGAGCAGAAGCCCCAGAGCAGAAGCCAGCAGCAGGAGCTAGTATTAGTAGGAATTCTTTACACTGTAATTGATGAATTGCTAAGTGGCTCAATATTTGAAAGTTAAAACTCTCAAAATATGAAGAGTTAAAAAACTCCAAGGGGTCCAATTTTAAGGGGACTCTCATGCTTTGTTGAGTTTTACCTCTAGGAGCCCTATCTGGTTCTCACTGTGTAGATGAGAGACAAATCCCCTAATGCTTCCAGCAGGAGAAGGGGGCAAGTAACCATTCTGAAATACACCCAGAGGTTTCTGTTCTTCTTAACAAGGTCTACCCTCAAGGGAAACTGTTTTGCCAGAGCTGTAATGACTGGGATTTTACAAGAGTCTAACTGATCTGGGGGAAGGGAAATACCCAGTCCAGGCTCATTAGAAGACTGAGATCTAATCATAAGACTATAGAATACTTTCCCTCCTCCTACACCTTACCACAACATCCACAGGGCTCCTGTATAATATCAGAATTTTATAGCTGAAAGAACTACAAGCCTCAGATCCTGTTTAATAAGTCTCTGTGAAAACCCAAAGACTATGGGGGAGACAAAAGCAATGACACTAAAGGAAATGTATTGCCTCTGACACCACAGCTACAGTAAATAGTAAACACAGTCTACTCATGTCTAGATGAATATAAAGCATGTATTGTTTTATAATAATTTGTATGTTTAGTGTATATATCAATACAGACATAGTTATGAATGTGTGTATTGGATTGTGATTTAAAATGTATTTCTTAACTGTGGACCACAGTCAAAAAAGTTGAAATCACATGGCATAAGGAATCTCTTCACAGAACCAAATAATACAAATACCTATGCACTTATTACCCATTCAAGTACAATAAAGAGTTTCTCCCATTCCACGAAGTAACAGCTTAATGAAGACATGGACATGGACAATGTATGTTCATGAATGCTGTTTTGTTACTTTCATTAATACAATGAGGATCTCACAGATTGGTCCTTTTTTTTTTTTTTAACTAGAACTCACTTTAACTCTTCCAGTCAGAAGTCCTATGTTCTAGTAGTCCTTCCCGCTTAGCTAAGTGTGATACCCACCAAGCTGGCAAAAGATGCTAAAGAAGCTAGAGACCCTGGGATCCTGACAGACAGGCTTACTCTCATTTTACTTGTGCAAGCCATAGTCTCCATCTGCAGTATTACTGTCTGTGAATCAAGTAGGGGTTTTCGAGTATAAATATGGCACAAAACATACTTCCTTTAGCACTAAGCCTCTCAGCAATTTAGCTGCCTTGAGACACTACTGTGCTCTCTTTACTGCTTCCTATGTATACATCTTTTTTCTTGCTCTTAGAACTTACCTAAATAAATCTCACCAATTTGTAAGGTCAAACTCCTCTTAAGTCTAACTCCTGTATGAAATTTCCCTAGCCCTTCTTTTGTTTATCCCAGTCTCTAAGCATCCAAAGAATTTATTTCCTGAACCATTTTCTTTTTAACACAAAAATCATTGATCATCATGAGTTTATTACTTAATTATTTCGCACATATGAATCTTGACACACCTGTTAAATGACAGGATCCTGGAATAAACAGTCATTTCTTTTATACTGTCTCAGTGGATCAGAAGGTTGACGTTTGGCAGGTACGCAGTAACATATATATGTTAAATTTATCTTTCTATTATTTTTATGAATATGATACATTATTTAAAAGTTCACAAAGCTAGCAATCCATGAGATGGGGCCAGTTCTTGTAAAAATATTTTTCTAGAATTTAAGAATTACACTGATGATGCTAACAATTACAAGAACATTTTAAAAGATGAATAAGGAAATTAGTCTGCCCTGTGGTCAGATGATGGACTTTCTTAGGTAAGTCTATTTAGCTACTTCCTTCTGCATGTTGAGCTTCTAATTAACTCTTGAATTTATAATTTCCTAGGGTTTTGCTGCAACATTCAACAATTCAATTTTTTTCTCAGTGACACATAGATGCCACCCAAAACATATTTCTAAGTAAAACTCCTTTGTCTATTTTTCCGTCTAAAAAGTATTCTCTACTATAGGATGATGAAAATTCAAAGAACAAACAATACATAATTGAGTTACACACCAAGTACAAAATCTTCCTACTCAAGTTGGCATGTGTATACAACATTAAACGATCAATATCTCAAGCATTCAACATTGGTATTTCCTTTTTTAAACATGCAGACTTTTCTTTAAGTATCAACATCCTTGACACATCTTCTAATATATACTGGAATATCTTTTAGATTTTTGGGTCTATACATACTTCTTGATTACTTTTTTAGAGAAGATGTCTGAAAAGCCTGTCAAAATCCCCTCGAGGCCTTTGAATCTAGGATCTCTACTTTTGACTTAAAAATTACTGTCCAAGTAGCCAAATAGCCAAGCAACTCAACTAGTACCTCCGCTAGTTCTACTTATGAATAATTCTGATTGAGTTCATTTATTTATGTACATTCAGACTCTTACATGGTTTCCCTATATAAACAAATATTTTTATAGACAATATAACTTTTGCTTCTTTGTTTTCAATAATAAATTCATTCAAAACTTGTGTTAGCCAGCTTTTGCTGTAGTGACAAACAATCCCGATATCTCTATGGATTATAAAAACAAATATGTATTACTTGCCCACATTCATGAGGGTGGGGGCTCTGCTGGGCTTAGCTGAATTTGACTGAACTAGACCTTGGCTCCATGACAAGTAATTTTTCATTTCATATCCCAGGCTGAAGGAGTTAAGCTAGTATCTTGGACATGCTATTCTTATTTTGGAGGGAAAAATGGGTATCAAAACATGTGCAATGTGCAAGCACATTTAAAATGTCTACTGATGCAATCTATTAGTTTCAGTAGAAAGTAATATGCCCCAGGCCAAAGTCAGTGGAAAGGAAAACAGACTGTGCTCACAGAGAAGAATGGTTAAGTGTATGGAGGGGATTATTATTTGTGAAATAATGTAATCTACCAAAGCCTGCTCCTGTTCACAAATGTTCACTTCCTTCCTGTAAGCCAAATGTAATCACCCCATCCTAAAGATACTCCAAGGTCTGATCTAATAAAAACATTTAGCTTGAAATCCAGGATCTAATAAAAACATTTAGCTTGAAATTCATGAGTTTCTATCATGCCAAAATGTAGCTCTATTGAGCCAAAGTCCAATAAACTTAAAGACTTGTTATTTGTACCCACACATGATAAAATACACACCTACACATCCATAATTAAATAGTGTAACCACAATAAACACTTCCATTTAGAAATGAGAAGAAAGGGAGAACCCAGCAGCTACTGGTCCACAACAGTTCTGAAATCCCATTGAGGAATTGTTATAAGGTCTACTAACCTGAGTGTAGGGAACTCTACTTAATTAACCTTCAGTCTTGTTTCCTGGAGGTAGCTTCATAGTCCATTGTTCTTTATGACTCTTGATTTCACCTCTGGGAAGTCCTTCCTTTTCCAATATTCTATTTGGGAGAAATTTCCCTCTCTAGCTGCTGAACAGCTTCCTTAGCCTGTCAAATAAAAGTTGGGAGTTCAAGGGTAGTTTCATTGTTCAAACAATCACAACCTCTTTTAATTCAGGCTGATAGAAATTTTGGCACTACAATCTTTTCAAAAACATTGTTGATTTCATTGTTTACTGTTGATATATCTTACCAATAGCCAGATCCATAAGTAGAAGACACTCCTCTAGGCTTAATTACAGATAATTTGCACTCTTTAGGCTTCCATTAGGCCAATATATGATCTTTTTACCCAGAGTCATTTTGTACAAGTGAAATGACTTACTGGGATCACTTTAAAGGAATTAGAGGTCTTAACAAATGGTGTGGTGATGATGGTCTTGATTTGGTCTTTGCTTCCAAACCTGTGTCATCATCATCTTCTTCTCCTCCTCCTTTTTCTTCCTCTTCTTATTATGAAATGGGCATACTATTACTTAATAGGATGAAAATATTAACTCTTCTTATTTATGAAGGATAAAAAAAACTCCTTATAGGCACTTTATAATATTAATTTTTAAAGATTGCTCTTGCCTTGTGATCTATATAATGGGCTCCTAAAAGATAATGGATAAGTTGCTCCCTCTCCCATTTATCTATTTAAAAATCTCTTTGAAATTGTACTTAAAAATGCCTACATGTTACTGTGGTAATTTCATATTCAGAATTTGCTCAAATTGTTAAATTTCTGATGTGTTTTGAATTCACTAAAAATAATTTAAATTATTCTATATAATAAAATATATACACAATTAGAAAATGATTATCCATGCCCTTGACTTGGTCTTTACACTGAGGCTTTTGTCTTAATTTGCAAATAGTTTACTGGCTGGAGATGAGAAACAGTAACATCTTTCAACTCTGTCTCTGGATTTCTGCATGAGGTCTCAGCAGCTCAGGATGACCAAGCCCTGAAGGCAAGAGGAAGCATGGAAAACTAAAAATATTTCAGTATGATTTCAGGACAAGATCAATCCTGTCAAATGCACAAAACAAGGGTTGAATATTATATTGAAAAGATAAATATTGGATTTAAAATTATGGAGTCAAAAATCCCATAAACAGTTTCACATTAGTATACTGCTATACACTGAAACTGAAAAAGGAAAAAAAAATCCCTGTGTCCTTCAGAGGTGAAATAGCCCAGGGAACATGCATTTATACTTGAAGCAAGTCAGGGTGAAACGCAGAAATAATCTGATTAAACTGCCTTGTGGCCTGGCACTTTTCTTCAGATGCTTTGTGGAGAAATCCTCAGTGTTGAAATTGAGTGAATACAGATAATATAGTAATTACTTTACTATCAAGGGCAACAAGTGGGAAGAGAAAAAAATACCTTGAGGTTTATAGTTTATAGCTCTGATCACAAAATACAATTAGTTCTGTCAATAACTACATTAGCCAGATTTGGGAAAAACAGAAACTGAAATGCAATTTTACTCTATCACTTTTCAAGGGCATGGCTTTGAGTTTGGTCTAAGTGGTGTGCAGGAATCTGAAGAGCAACTCTATATTTTGTCTCTTAGCACAGTGACTGCCCTGTGGAAGAGTCCAGCACACTTACAGCACAGGTAGGCTCCATTGTTCTTTTGAAATGGACAGCTGGGGAATGTTAACATGCTGACGACAAGCATAAAAAAATAACACTTCTGGCTCAGTTTGTACTCAAAGTGCATGTATTTTAAAAGGAGAAATCTTTTAAGTGTCAGCCATAAACTGCTTTCAAAAACATGATCTGGTAAAATATGTCTTTGCAAAGTAGTCCAGGATACAGACATTTAAAATACTCACCTTTAAGACTCTCTTTGCATTTCCTTTAAGCACCTGTGTAGTGCTGTTGCCTGTCTCTGTAAGGACCAGTCATAAGAAGAAAAGTTATAGTAAAAACAAAAATCTAGAATCATCAAATATTGATGCAATATTAATGAACTACATGTGATCATTTTATCACCAAAACATTGGGCATGTGGCAATGCATTTGCATCAACTCCACATTGATTGTAACATTATTGTTGAGTCTGCACCTCTGATCTTGTCACAGGCAAAAATACTGAAAAGGCAAAGTAAACCTTTGTTGTCTTCCATTCACCCAGGATCTCATTGCTCCTGTGACAAAAGTACCTCTTTTCCTCCACCCTAGTATCTATAGCTACCATTTATTGGTTTCTCAACCAAGTTCTGGACACTGTGCTAGTCAAGTATATACATTAATATAACAATAGTAGGTAACCATGTTTCTCTTACAGATAAGAAAACTGAGACACCCCAAACATTAACTAATGTTATCAAGCTCATAAAGCTGGTAGAGTGGTAGAGACAAGATTCAAACCAGGTCTTTTTGACTTTAAGAAAATTCATAATTCTGACCACAACACTGCCATCTGCACTTGGATTGGTTTCTTGCACACTGTAATGTGTGGCAAAGAGGGAAGCAAACTTCTTAAACTAGGGTGTAAATGACTACAACCCACCTCCCTCACCCTCGACACCTTTGATCTTTTTCTTTCACTTTGAAACATGAACTTGCTCATTCAATTGAATCTTTAACTGGATTGGTGATAAAAGGAAATGAACCATTTTAGACAAATGAGAAGTATTTGGAAATAGTAAAGATGAGCAGGAGCCATTCAGGTGCCATTTGAGTCATTCCATATAGCTGGAACTGTTATCTCTTTTGGCTGACGCTTTTTTTTTTTTTTGGAGTAGGTCTACTATCACAGACTCATCCTCTCTTGAGAATGTTTAGCATAATTTAAAGCTTTAAATAAAAAGAAAAGATTGAAGAAAATCAGTGAGGTGTATTAAAAGTAGCCATTTGAATGCAGATTTTTGTTTCCCTGTTTGAGTGCATAGGACATTGGTAATAGAGGCTAATAAATTGATCCAGTTTACATGAATTTTAAGTTTCTGGTACTAATGCAAGCTTTCCATATGTTCTTATTCATAATTTATTTACCAGGCAACTTTTGCTTATCCTTTGGTTTTTAACTACATTTTATGTGAACTCTTTTTCCATATTTTCTGCATCTTCATTTACTTAGAGTTAAATTCTCTTTTGTGTTCCCTAAAACTTATTATCTTTGTCTATATAACAGGTCCTACACATTACATTGTAATTTTTTACATGTTAAGCTTTTTTCACTTTAACAATTTCTGATGGTCTACATTAATTTTTAATGATTGCATCTAATACAGTTTGGCACTGATTAATTGCCTAATAAACATATAATTTCTCTATCTGTATTTCATATTTGAAAAATGCCAGCCACAGGGTCAGTGTAACCTAAAATGTTTGTCTGCAAAAGCTAAATTTTTATCTATATGAGACTGTTTCTTCTATTCATTCACCTTCTTTTTATTTGCTCACTCACTCCTGGTTTCTCTTGCATTCCTGCTCTCTTTTGCTTTTTACTCTCTTTCCCTTTCTCTCTCACTAACTCTACCTGCCTTTCATCACTGTCTCTAATTAGCTTCATTCTGCAAGACTCCTCATTGTGTCAGGGAAGATGACCAGTGATACCAGGTTCAAAATTTCCAAGCTTAGCAACCTTAGCAGAAAAAGAACATATTTCTTCTAGTGTTTAGAATGTTATCATCCTGCCTCAGTATATTTTTTTTATATATCTTACTTTTCGCTGGTAATATTCTGAAGGATATACCACAAATATCTGGAACCTGATCTAGTACCTTCTTTGGTGGACTAGCTAGGTTTTTATTGTGATAATGCTGTGTAACAAACAAACTCCAAAGTCTCAGCTACAGTGTCAGGAGATTCTCCCTGTTGTTCCAAAAATTCTGCCAGCAGCTCTCAGGTTATGATTCTTCATTAATGTATTGCATTTGTCCTATTCACTCAACCTTTGACTTAAAGTCTTAGGCTTCATTCTAGTTACACTAAATTAGGTCATGCTACTATCTCTGAGCCAGTTATGGACTCAGGTAATGCTAATTAGTTTAGGCCTGAGCCACATGTGCTGCTAATGAAGATACTTCCCTGAAGCACATGAGCTGCTTAGAGGGGTAATGGTGGTTACTTAAGACACGATCAGGGTGCTAGAACTGTAAGAATGTGATAAAAGTCTTCCAGAATCTGCAAATGTTCAACACAGAATATCAGGCTTACATTTTAGATTTCTTATTTAAGTTCAAGTTTGTAGTTTAGTCTACTTTGATCTTAGGAAGAAGGATCAGGCAACAGTTATGATCTGAACTCTCTATTAGTAGATACTGCCTCAAAGACTGAGCTGAGAAAATCTGCAGAATAAAGAAGGAGCGATGGAGAGAGTTTGTAAAAGGTGATATTTTTCTTCCTCCACCAATCTGCTGATAAAGAGCAGCTACTTAAGTTTAAACTTTTTCCTTCCCTGGAAAGAATATAAGGCATTCTGAATTAGAAACATATGCTGGTGCATCAGTCATTGTTCCAGTTCTTGGTCATGATAGCAGAGGAAGAGTTACCCAGAAATTTTTTCTTGATTAAAAAAAAATATATATATACACATATGTAAGAAATGGAGGACAAATGTTAACTAATACAAGAATTCTGAAAAACAAATGTCATACATCTGAAATTTCTGATGTATGATAAACACTTAAGGAAAGTTAAGAAACAATTTTAGCAATGCTGAGGACAAGATTATTGCTATTCTGGGTCATATCTAGATAGTGTCTTGGACTCAATGTTTATTCAAAGATCTCCTATGATATATCAATGAAGGATCTTCCATATAGAATTCACTGTGCTTATAAAACTCCTACCACAACCATTAAAAATATTTGTCTGTGGGGTGGTTTTGAACTGCTATGAAGATTTAGGGTGCTGTTTATAATTTTAAGCCATTCCTCTGGGGAAAGCCCACAATTTATTTATGTTCTAGAGATGAAATTATATAACATAGGAGATGTCATTGAAATAGTCCTGGATACATGGAAAGTGCTCAATAAATTGCAGGAAAGTTATCTTTCTTATTATTGCTGTTATTTTGCCTCATAGCATTTGAATCATTTTC